AATTGTGTACCAGTTTAACGTTGAATATTATTTATGATTTTAACTTTATACACAAGTGCCAAAATACTATAATCTGTTGAGTCTTTGAATAGTGGGTAGATGTTGAAAGATTAGAAGTTGTCTAATGTTATTCCTATTTTTAAAGGAATTATTAAAAAATTTCTGAATAACTTTAAGCCTATTTTTCTTACATTATTTGTGGAAAGCTTTTGAAAGTGCTTTGCAAATTCATATAATTATTAAAGTTTAAAATTTTGTTGGATAATAGACATGGTGTGTCACTAGGGAAAATACTGCCTTTCTAGTCTCTCTCATTCTTGCATAGATGAGAGTAAAAGTGTGTATTTGGTATATCTGAATATTCAGAAAACATCTTACAAGGTGCCACAAAAAAAGATGAACCTATTCCATACTTGCACAGAAAAAATTCATTTGATAATACCACAACTGACAAATGCTATTGGGAAAATAACCATTCACATAGTAATGCTATCACAAGATAGAGGATGCAAGTTTTCTTGCATCATTCAAGCATTTGTTCTTTCTCTATTCTTCCTGTTTCCTGCTTGAGTGTAGCCCTAAAGAAGTCAGTCCCAACAATAAGAAGGCAAAGCTATACCTTGAGTTTGTAGAAGTGATCATGTGAGTGTCTACACAAGTTCATTACTTTTTTTTTTTTTCGTCTTTGCTTTTGTTTGTAAATAAAGTTTGTGTTCATTTTTCCATCAAATCTGTCCAGTTTTCTCATTTTCTCGCATAGTCTTAAAATTCAGTCAAGTTAGCAAATGTAGTTATTCCGTAAATTGAAATGTGCATAGCAACTTTTATTTCTATATGTAAAAAGAAAAAGTAGTTTATTCGGTTAAATTCAAGAATATATATTTTTTTCTTCTACTGTTTGAATATTCTAAAATACACATGTAAATATATGTTTGTACATATGTGCATAGTTGTTTCTTGGTACAGTCATTAAAAAAAAAAAACAACGTCTTATTAACTGGGCTAAATCCAGTATTATCCTATTCCAGGTTTACAACAGTGTGTTTGGCCAGGAAGATTTCAAGTATTAAAAAGAGGTTCAACTACGTATTATCTTGATGGAGCACACACGGGAGAAAGCATGGAGGCTTGTATTCGCTGGTTCAAGGAAGAATGTGCCAATGAAGAGAAGCGAACAAGGTGTTTTTATTATTATTTATTTAATTTTGTTTTTTAACCATGCTTGTTTTCAGAGTGTGCGACTTTGTTTTAATACCTCTTTTTCTTTCTTTTTTTCTCGTTTAATTTTGTTTATTAAACACAGAAAATATATTTGTACACTTTAGCAGTGTTGATATATTTTTTTTACTGCATGTTTTTTTCTATAGGGGTTCTGTATTTAGGGTGTTGCTGTTTAACTGTACAGGAGAAAGAAAAGCGGAAACACTACTTGCTCCCTTAACTAATAAATGTTTTGACTTAGCAGTATTCTGTCCAAATAAAGTTTTCATAACCAAGGACTGTGCTTCGGGTGAGTAGTTTTTTTTTACCAAAAACCTATGTATGTAAAGACATTTCAGAGGATGGATCATAGGAAAGAAATCCAAGCTGTTAGTATGTATGGTAGTAGACATAAATCAGGGTAAGCCTACTTTTTATTTTTTAACATTTTAAAGTTTAGAAGCTAACACACTTTTGGATCAAATTCAAATGTATGTATTATAAAATTATATACATGCTTGTTATGAATGTGGATCAGTCTAGAGCTGCTTGATTGAATTTCTAATACTGAACTATTAACTGAACTATTGTTGAACACGTTTGCTACCATGTGCCCCACTGATGGGTCACGACCAACTTGGTTATGGACCACGTGATGTACTTGTGGGTCACATATTAAAAGTGGCTTTAATGAGCTAATTAAACATAGTATAGTTACCCGTATAAATGTTATACACCTGGGTTAAGTAAAAAAAGAAAAGTGTGTTAGACACTAGGCTAGGAATTATTAATACTACAAGAGGCAGCAATCATGTTAAAAACTTGGAATTATCACATATTTATTTGATATATAAAGTAACTGTACTTTATCTGTATTTCAAAGTTCTAGATTTTTTTATTTTTTTCTTATCGTAGATCAAAGTAACTTCACAGTTGATCCCCAACAAGAGATGCACCAGTGTGAGGTAAACATGAAAGTTTGGTGTCATATGCTGAGCAGTATCAGAGAAGAGAAGATAGCTGCTAATCCCAGTACCTCAGAATATCACTCGTCTAGCATTCATGCTAACATTGACATGGATTGTGTCATCTTTCCTTGCATCTTGGATGCCTTATGTTGGTTATCTCAGGGTCGTGAAACTACCTTTCAAAGTGAACTCTGTGAATTTAAACACATTGTTCCTCCAGCTAAACTGATGGAAGCTTCCCAATTACAGATATTGGTAACAGGAAGCTTGCACCTGGTAGGGGGTGTTCTAGCAGTTATCGATCCAGAAATTTCTTGTCAGTCTAAATGTGTAGTTAATGGTGTTTGATAACATTTAATTCTAAAAAATAATGATGCTCGTAATTTAGTTACATGCATATAACCATTACTGAATGATCTTGACAGTTTATTCAACCTTTGCAATTAGTACCATTTTAAAATCGTTTGTACAGTTTTTTGTAATACATCACTTGAACCACTGTCATCTGTTTATTGTGTGGATTTAAAGTTGAAATTTATCTAATGTTTTATCAAATGTTTTTTTTTCCAAGTTTTCTGGTGCTTATGGTACTTATATTAAAACCACCATGATCTTTATTTATGTTTGCCTTTATAATAGTGAAATTATAACTTGCTGGACACTTGTAATACATAATAATAGTGGAAGAGTTTAGAGGGTAATGTAAAGAAGAAGAAAAAATCCATTCCACAATTTCTTAATTTAAATCTTTGCTTGTATGGCAAAAAGCAGAAGGCTTTCGTTTGGAAAGGGGTGTTATAACAGTTTTTGAACCTGAACATTTTTCTTGTTCTAGAATATGTAGCTAGTGTTTTTAGTTTAATATAAAAAAAAAATTCTAAAGAAGAGGAGTAAATAAAATTTATGTACGTGTATTCAAAATAACTCAATAATCTTAACATTAGTAAATTTAACTTTGACAGTCAGTAGCATTTGAAATTACTACGATGCTCCAAGTCATTTGCTATTTTGAGATTATAATTCTAACTTTAAAGATAGACTTGCAGAAGTAGAACATTTAGTACTGCCAGCTAAGCTAATGAAAGCTTCACAAAATACTTATATAAGGCTAAAATTAATATTAAGAAAAAAATAATTTTTACAGGTATGTGTTCATAGTCATTGTTTATGAAAATAGCAGCTAGACCATTAATGAGCTAATTGTATTGGGTAAAAGGCCTTGTGTGGACTGCGTATGGCAGATTTAGTGTGCTTGACTTATAATGTTCTCCTTTGTATTCACTTGTGGGCTCTTGGAAGTTACATGATAAATTTATAAATTCCCTTCTTTAACAGTTTTATGACCATTGGAGCTATAGCTAAGGGTATTTTTGGGTTTTACTGTGAACATACATAATTAAACAAAATAAATAAAAGTAATGGAATTTAAAGCCAAACTTGTAAGTAATTGTTCTATAACCACAATAATAGAATGCATTATTTACCAACTGACTTGTAACTCTTATTAATAATAAACCTTCCACCTTGAAATTAAAATTGAATGAAGAAAAGTTAACAGTTCTGTTCTTTTTGACCAGTTTGCATTTTCTGTGTGATTCAGTCTTACAATTTAATTTGAGTTTTTTTACGTATATATTTATTGTTATTCTTGCATTTATACAGCAGGGATTGTTCAAAAAGCATAACTTGTGAAAGAAAAAAAATTTGCTACCAAGGGAGAACAACTTCTCATAAAGTAGCAGTCACTCTCCTTAGCTTGTGTGTTTTTTAAAGATTTATAATTGTGTTAACTGCGTATTCCTATGATCGTAAATGTCCAGGTTACATACAGAACGTAATTGAGTTATTTTACATAGGACCTATTGCTTCCAAAAGATAAAAGCTTATATTTTGTACTCATGATAAAGCTAATTAATGCATCAATTCACATACGTGTTGATCAAATTATCATTAACTATATGAAAAAAAACAACTGGAGTGTGCTGTGAAAGTTCATGTAAAATGTATGTGTCATACACACAAAATTAACGAACTCGGATTGAGGTTTAAAATATGTACTTCATGCAAGAAAAGATAAATGATGGAAAGAGATTGATATATATAGATTGACATTCAATCTGTGTCCGTACTGATGTTGCATATGATTGATGGCATTATCTATACTAGATATTGTATGTTGTTATGTTTCACAGAAATTAAATTTTCCCTAAATTGGGGAAATTTTCTCATTCAAATTTAACGAGTTGTATCTTATTAAAATTATTAAGAAATTTTCAAGAGGTTGTTTCTTGTGGATCTTAAACAAATGCAAATCGCATAAAATGTTGTTATATTTGGTACACTGTAAATAAAACAAAATATTGAGTTTTGAGTACACTTTACTTGTCGATTTAATAACCTCAATTGATTTAGGTATGTGAATAATGTTAAAACATTTCATCGAATATATTATTTGATATTATACAGTGGACCAACTCTTTAATGATTGTGCATATGTAAAATATTTCTTTTCATTTTCCACCATTTTTCATAATGCATTTTTTTGATTGGCTGTACCCCTTTGATGTAGAGGCATAAAGCATTCTTTGATTGGCTGTACCCTTTGCTGTGGACTGCAATTCTTCCTATTCAAGGCTCATCAGCACATCTTGGGTCAGCAAACCAAAGAAATACCACTAGGTCTTTACATCACAGATTCTTTTTTTCATTTTCACCTCTGGTGAAAAAAATCTTTAACATATATGTTAATCATTAAACAGTTAGTCCACTGTATAATATCAATTAATGAATTTGATGAAATGTGATAACATTATTCACATACAATTCTTGGAGACTGCTTGAATGGGTAATGAAGAAAAACTTTAATATGAGTTAAACATCACAGCAAATGTACAAAACCTTGTCGAAATGTTGTACATTTGCTGTAATGTTAAACTTATATTAAACTTTTTCTTCATTACCCATTCAAGCCGTCTCCAAGCATTATTAGTCTCAAAGTGTGTTCCTCGTCATTGAATTATTCACATACCTAAATTAGTTTAAGTTACTATATGGTGAATTAAAACAGACTCAAAAACCCCATAAATATATCCATTTCATCATTATATGAGGCCTAGTTGTATCTTTGGTATGCTGACCTCAAGCTGTGTTGATTAGTCTTGAATACGCAAAACTGCAGTTCACAGCAGAGGGTATGGCCAACCAAAGATTGCATTTTCAATTTCACTTCTGGTGAGAAAGAAAAATCTTTAACATGTGTATATATATGGAATGTTATAAAAATGCAAATTTAAGGTATGTTTATGGTTGATTTGGCATTTAATTAAAAATTCTTTTTTAAAGTGCTTTGAATGTTGAAGTACACTGTATTATCTTATCCTTTTTAATTTGTCTGTGGAGATGCAAAGTAAAAATGTGACAGAGAGAACTACAAATTCTTGCATTGCTGTTGTGACTTAAAGATGAATATAAAAGATATTTCTTGTATAATTAGACTTTTAAATGTTCACAATACAGAAGTTTTACATTGTCTTTATAAATAAAATGTGTAGTTTGATGCTTTTTATTCATAGATTTAATTGGTTAACTAATGGCCGTTTGATGTTACTTGTTTTTCTTTTTGATCATTCCATAAAGTATAATTTTAAGTTTATACATTGAGAGAACCTATATAATATTGTTGTTTGAAACTTGATTTTTTTGTTGTTGTTTTGTTTTTTTATGTTTAAAATTGTTTTACAATAAATGCTATTTACTATTAAATTCAAAACTATAAATACTTTGGCTTCAAATTCTCTTACTTGCTAATTTTTTAGGGAATTTAAATTGGAACCTGACATCAAATTAAATAAAAAAATTAATCGAATTGTAAGATTTTTGAATAGTTGACTTTCATAAAGAATGTTTTTATAAAAAATCATTAAACTTTCTTAAGGTAATAGTGTTATTGAAAAATATGTTCAACTATCAATCTAGCAGTACTACTTTCATAGTTGCCACCCAGTGGCACGGCGATATGTCTGCGGACTTACAATGCCAGACACCGGGTTTTGATACCCGTGGTGGGCAGAGCACAGATAGCCCACTGTCTAGCTTTGTGCTTAACTTCAAACAAACAAACTTTCACAGTTACTGAAATTCCTTCGGTTCATGGTTATTATTTATTTTAAAATACAGAAAAACATGTATTAAATGCAAATACAATCACTTATTCCATGTTATCCTCTAAGAATATTATGAGTAGATCTTGTGTATGTTATGTTGTATTTTTGGTTAAAGTTACTGAAATAATGTATTGGTGGTGTAGGTATAAAGTGTAACCGTGTTTGGGTTGAGATAATGTAAGCTGTTTAGTAGTTTTTAGTTTTTATTGAATATTGGTATCCTACTTAAAAACTTAGTACAATTAGTTAAATTTATCTATGTATTTCAACATTTTCATTTGGTGTATTTGGTTTTGGGGGCTTGAAGTGAAATATATATTGAAGAAAGAAATGTGAAGTTATTTTTTTGTAAACTTGAAATTGCGGAAAATAATTTTTAATCAAATTCTAATAAAATTTACAATTTGTTTTTAGTATACATTTTAAAAAATAAAGACTTATTTTTTTAAGCCACGGTTGTTGTTTTTTTAACGCTTTATAGAGCTCAAGATATTTAACATTTTTGGTAAATTGCACCTTAATGATTTCATTTATAGATGGCATAGTAAATTCATTTGTTCCATACCAATAACTTAAAGTTTTTGTCGGTGAAACTGAAACAAAATAACCACAAAGCATAAGATATGTTACGAACGGAAATATAAATCACATTTTCCTGCATATGAAAGATTTTGACCACCAATTAATTATCCAAACTTATCTACAAGACAGAAAATTATATAACACGAAAAATTATTAATCTATATATTTAACAGCATGTCGAACGATAACATTTCTGAGGGTCATTTCAAACTAAACTACACTCAAGACGTTCGTTTTATAGGAAGTAGACGTCAAATTTCTCCACGTACTATATGCGTTGGAACGAACATTTAAGATACTGATAAATGGATAATTTTTAGAAGCAGAATTTGAGAACATTAAGCAAATGCGTAAAATAATTAGTTTTCTTTCTAGTCGTTCCTAAATAAAGAAATGTGGCTGATAGTTTTTCAACAAGAGTGTCGTGAAATCTCTTGTGTGAAAGATTCATGTAAAGTGGAGCATGTAATAACAAAATAGACGTTGATCTTTACCACTGTCGGTTAAGGTGGTACCTTAAGATTACATTCTCCTATATTTTGCACTTAAAACGACCATCCACCATATAGGTGTATCACCTGCAACGTGAGAAGAATGACATTCTTGTTTTATGTATATAATGCTTTTCTCATTCTGGAAAAACATTTACAGTAGTGTTAGATCAGGTTTATTAGAGAACTCTCTGGTGAAAGTGCCACAAAATACACTTGTTTACCTTTGATTGTTTTTGAGTATTAACTATAGATTGTTTCGCTGTGTTGTACACTTTGTCCAGTTTCATTATTTCCTTCAAATTCAGTCGAGGCTAGAGAATTCAAATTTGTTCTGTAATACCTTTTCTGGTGGACCTATTGTTATTCTTCAGAACATGTCCAATTATGCTAAGTTAAACTGATGCACTTGAAGTCTATATTAAGGTCGTCGGAATGACCTGGGAAGGTCAGATACAATATTCCACCCTCCTTGACTATTGTTATTTTTAAATGCTACATGACAATTCACAAGTATCAGTACACAGACACACAATAATCAAATTTGTTTCATTATTCACATTACTCTCTCCAGAGCCATGTCCACGAATTGTATTTTGTAGCATTTCGGGCAATTTTATCACTTCACTCAGTTTGATCACATTATAGTCCACAAAATGGTTCGTTGATAAACGTCACTTTTCTCTAGATCACATTACTAGAGGTGTATTTAACATAAATACCCTATCAATACACTGATCTAGATGGTATTCTAAGACCTGGTTAAGGGTGACTTATTTAGTACCATACTGGATTTTTATTTTGTTGAGATTGTGAGTAGAGAGTTAATAAATATATGTGGAACTACAGGTACTAGATGCTGCTTGGCTGTTTCGACGAGAAGAGTGCCGCTATCTTCGTGATTTTGGGGGTTTTGGTATTGTCTGAAAAAATCGATGAATAATGCATTCCAGAATACCACAAAAACACTTTTTTAAATTAGACAGATAGTTGTCTAAACCACGACGATCCCCTCTTTATTTGTCATAAGATACATCGTTAAAAACACGCACATATGCAGGCAGGTTCAGGCGAACCCCCTATTCTTAGTAAGGTAAAAAAAAAAAAAAAATGGTTATAGCGCAGCTGCTTATGGTATTTAACGTTTTCTATATAGGCTAGATTCTTCTGATGGAGCATTAGCATGTTTTGGCTTGAAACAGTCGCATGCCCCCAGATTCCCGTAGCATTAGCACGCTTTGCATGCTGATTGTGCTTCACACAGTATGTGTTGGCTTTTGATCTCACAAATAAGAACCCCTCTTTCAAACATTCTGCATAAGGGCCTGAAAAATAAAATGATTTATTTTAGTAGCTTTGTTTGTTTGTAATTAAGCCCAAATCTACAAAATGGGTAATCTGTGCTTTCCCCACCATGGATATCGAAACCTGGTGTCTAGCGTTGTAAGTCCACAGACATACCACTGTGCCATTGAGGACCAACTTAGTGAAGAGAGTGAAAAATTCGTGGAAATATTTTTGGCTGAAACAATGTTGAAAATAAACATATATTGGGAAGAGACGAATAGAATTTATTCTGAAACATTCAATGAAGCAAGTAAATAGCCCCCCCCCCAGTGGCACAGCGGTATGTCTGCGTACTTACAATGCTAGAAACCGG